GGTCTCAGTATCTCGTTTGTGAGCAGCCCAGACGACGAGGCTGTCCTCAAGTCGATCGAGGAGCGCTTCCAGGTCGAGCTTCCTGAGTTCCCCGAGGATGGTATCAACTCGTCCACCTACATGGACAACTAAAATCCGCCCGGACGGAGTGACGGAAAAGGTGCAGGAGAGGGTTCTTTCTTTTGGACAAAAGTCACGATTGACCTTCGGTGCAATGAACACGTAAGCAACGGCGCAAGGTGGTTCTTAAGTTGGTGAAGGCTGTTCTGAATTCCAGTCTTCAAGAGTTATTATCTCGCTATGAGAGGAACCAAAGAAATTGATATGCGAATCTTCTGTCCACAATGACTTGTTTTGCGCAAATGTGATCTCAACGTTCCGACGCTCTAGACATGAAGCACGAACATGGCACTGTATCTCGTTCCTTTTTCTCCTACCCGCATTGCTTTGGCTGAGCACGACATCTTCTCGGCTAGGGCAATCGCAAAAGCAGGCCCAACACACCCTGCTTCCGAAGAGTGCCGCGTGCTAAAGAAGAATGGAAAGGTCATCGGAGTCCGAAGCTCTGTCTCTCTCAGCGTATTCCTAATTATAGGCTCATTGGTGCTCGAGCGTGGAGGCTAGAAGAGGGCTTTTCCTGTCTTGCTTCTTCCTCAACCACGGCCACTGCCGCAGTAAGCGACCATCGTCGCTTCAGGGTCTGTAGATCTGTCGTCTGAAAAGGGTATATGTGCATTTTGGTAGAGAAAAGTACAGATGGTTTGTGGAAGGGTTACCGAACGCGTGGGACAGGAGTCTGGTGTACATGATGGGTGCTTTCATGGTGTTACCGAGGCTGAGACGTGCTTGTGTAGGGAAAGGCTGCTGGATACACATTTGTTTGCTCTCCCGGTCTGGCGGGGAATTTATAAGCGGTTTCACTATGCGACAGACGTTCAGCCTCCTCTGAGCAGTGTCGAAAAGCTGTGGAGTTTCGTGTCAATGTTCCATTTGGAACCGACCAGCCAGAACACCATACAGCAAACGCGACTACAAATTCTAGCAATGGCTTGGTTTCGGAAACGGCATGATCCTACCATGAGCTTGACGGCTTCGGTATTTCGTGTTGTGCCTCCTAGACTCATGTAATCCTCTTGAAAAACTTGTAAAATAGTCGGCCAATCTTGTAGCGAGGATGATAGAGTCGCTGCAACAGAGACTGTGCTTTACGAATGTAGATCAGCAAACAGCTTCTCTTCTCTAGATCGCGGGCCCCGAGCCGCATATCAGCTATAAGCAAGCCCCCAGTCTATATGTTCACGGGGAACATGTACCGATCTACGAGCCGATACATTACCAGAACATGACATAAGATTCGCTCTCCACTTGGTGTATACTACGTCTGGCTATACTATGGGTATCGCATAGATTACTCATATCCGATATGAGCACAGTTGTTGGTGCGGCAGGTCAGCGGAGAAAAGTTGGCGGGATGCCTGCGGGTTCCATATGCGCTCTCACGGGCAAGGGCTGCTACCAAAGCTCATCTCGCTTCTGCAACTCCCGTTCGAGCATCAACGGCGTGTCCGTACTTGCATATCACATCAATAAGATTTGATAGACGTCGAAATATGGTTGCGGAGCATAGAGCACGGCTGCGACAGGTTCCGAGCAAGCGATCAGAGTCGCGGGTGCCCCTAAACGAGACGATTGGTGAGTTGAAGATCATCGGTATTTTGTCAACATCAGGGACTATTGGTCTCTCTTTAGCCGACAGACAGAAGTTGGTAAAGTTGGTAGGCGGTGTATGCGGGAGACAGAGGTTTGGAGGGGCCTGCCGCGTATCGCGACCACCATCCATAAGGTCGGGCTCAACATAAGGCGATGATCACCGCGTTGCTATTTCGATATTTCTATTGCGGAAATTCGTGATGTGAAGATCGACAGCGGCGACCCAGTCCCTTGTTCGGCAGCCGCGCACATTGCCGGGCCGCAGTGGCGCCACATGTCAGGAACAAGAGCAGAGTGACTCGCGTGGCGGGGCGGCGCTCAGGAGCACGAGCGAGGATCTCGGAAGCGGTTAGTGAGGTTGAAATGAGACATGGGTAGCGAAATGTCAGAAGGCTAAAGCCACATAGTTTGTGATTCGATAAGAGGTAACGAGATGCAGAGTCGTGTTTCAATAATGCAGTGACTATCGCGAGACGTCTGTCAAATCGATTTGCTGATAATGCGGCGAGCCGTGTCGCCCCTTTGCAGATGAGCTTCAGGGAGCGTGTAAAGTGATGGGCAGAGGGGAAGGGATCTATTTTGAGATGACGTTCCGAAAGCGGTTGCCTCACCGCATATGATAGGGTTTTGCATTATAGGCAGGCTTGCAAACCGCAATCGTCATTTCCCATACATATTCGATCGCATTCATGTGGCGTCTCAACTGTAGTGTTAGCGCGTATGATTGCTGTGTTAGCGGTTGAAACATCTAGGCTGTCCCGTTCCCCGTGTATACGACGCGTGTTATGGAACATGCTGAGCGACCGTTGGCCGGAACGCGTGCATCCTAGCTGGACGCGTTTTCCACGTCCGTCGTCTGCTAGTAGTTCGACTGCTTCCAACGCGGCGGGAGGATACGAATACGGGATCCCCTGCCCCGGGCGCAGGGAACATCAAAGGCGCGATTGCTTAGCTAGGTTAAGGTGTTAAGCTTTTCAACGTTGACGGACGAAATGGAGTGGTTGTAATTCCCGCCTTCTGGCGCCCGCTGTCAGAGTCACCGGCATCGCGCGGCAACTTCTGTATGTAAGACGTACCACGGTGTGAAAGGAGACCGTGGGCGAGTCCAAAGAATGGGCTAAGTAAGTGAAGGCTAGCGTTGATGTGCTACGTAACGGAAGTAGAAGGAGCGACCACCGAGCGAGTGCAACTAGCTGTGTTAGAGTCGCCTGCGGCCAAGGCAGAGATGAGGAGGGCGAGGAAGGAGCGGTCGCGTCTGAAGCGAGATCTCGATCGCAGTGGGTCGGGAGTCGACAGCGCGAGAGCGATGGCTTCGGTTCCAGATAAACTCGCACAGTTTGATTGTGTGAAGCTGTTGAAGCTCAGTTGTGCGGGTAGGAGTACACGGAGTAGGCGAAGGAAGCAGTGATCATGGACAGTGATTCGCGCATGTCTTGGCGAGATGTCCTATCCAGGAGCAAGTCGCGGATCTGCTGCATGCGGCGATATCACAGGCTGCTGGCAGTGGTCGACGCAGCTGGTGGCGTATTAGAATGTGGCAAGAGCGACAACTAATTATTGGAGTGCAGATTGATGGGTTGCTCAACCTCAGACACGGCGAGCGCTGTGTATTGCTGCTGTCGTGTTGGCTGCTGGCACATGTACCCGGGCTATGTTGGGCGCTCCAGTTCTGGTCTGATTTTGTAAGCTCGCACGCGGCTCGGGTGCGGGAAGCAAGTCGAGCCGTGCATTTCCAGTCGGTGGGTTTAGTCGCAGGAAATGGTACGGTAGTGGCTCCGGGCGGCACTGCCGCTCGCGGCGAGGTGAGGGTGAAAAGACCGAGTCCAAGGTACAGCTAGGCCCACTGGTTATTCTACTGAGTAAGGCTGCGCGAGGACTAAACTCGACGGAGCAGCAGCGGGCGTAATGAAGCTCCGAGCAGTGCAAACGGCCCAGGTGGAAATTAGCCATAGCCCTATCTGGGCGGGGCTGTATCTCGGACAGTGGCAGCCCCTTTTAGAGGATTTTCAGGCTGCCCGTTGAGAGATGGACCAAGGATGGGACTTGACAGCGGTCGCACGGCCCCCAGTTCGACGGTGGAATAGGCGTTGGGACGGTCTGGTCTTGGCCCAGACGTAGCGAACGTCGACGTCAGACGCGCGGAGCTGCAGTGACGACTAGCACGCGAGTTTGATTGGGCCTAGCACGGTTGCGGGCTGGCGCTGACGGTGGTGAGTTGTGAACCAGACGCGCGCAGGTGGTTGAGGCAGCGTGCCAGCGCCGTGTAGGAAGGGCGACATAAAGCTAGCCATGGCCGGCGCGCTCGACACCAAGCGCGAGGTGCAGCAGGTTTTCGTGATAGGCGAGGGCTTCAGATCGTCGAGTGCATGTGGGCGAAGCGGATCTCCATGGCTCGCCGGGATGATGCCGCGCACGCATCCAGCAGCCAGGGCTGGCGAGGTGGATTTGTTTCCAGCGTGTTTCCACGTCTTCTCAGCACGACGCTTAACAAAACGCTCAGTTTGCAGCGCGTCGCAGAGGCAATGGCAGCCTATCCGTGATCTGCGTTCGCGCTGTCGCAATCATGAGCACCGTCAGCGCAATGTGCACGCCACGCCGCGCATATGCCTTTTTATGAAGCAAAAAAACAATGACGACGGGCACGGCCCCGCCCATAATAAATCAGCGATGGATTTGGCGTCGACAGCGATAAGTGCAGGGCCTGTGCCCAAAGCATTCTAGTGGGCACCAGCAGGCAGTCAGCGGGATATCAAGCCAGTCTGCGTGGCAGCGCATCAACCTTGCTTGCACTTGCTTGCTTGTCTGCTACCGCTACCGCTACCGCTGCCTCGACACCCAGCATCCTCACCCATCCTCTGTCCTCTGCCCTGCACTGCATCTTTGCTGCCTGCGTCCGCTCGCTTTGTAGAGACTCTGCCGTGGAACCCGCGTCCCGCCGTGCGCTCCTTCTCACGCTGACCCTACGCCAGCAGTCGTGGTAGCTTCCTGACCCTCCGCCGTCTGCGCCCGTCACGACCCAGTCCGTCTGGTCTTGTCCCGTCCTGCCTCCTCACCCGCGCCTCTCTCTTAATGTTCTGCTACGAGTCGCCCCAGTGATTCATCTCCCAGGCCGCCGCACACTCGTTTCCGCTACTATCTTAATCGATAATTCACCTGCCGCTGTCCGTTGTTGCCCGCCAATTGCGCTACATCGAAGCGCGCTCCCAACGCCAACTTTTTGGCTCTCCTCACCCTCACCACGCCGCCGCTGTCGCCTGTCACCTCGCGGCCCACCCTAAGGCGCTCCCAACATGGCTCCAGCAGTCCCCCGATTACGCATTCTGTCAGGTGCGTTATCTCCCCGCGAGCGTCGCACGGCAGCCGACGGCTCCGCTGCCCTCGCACACGCTCTGCTTGTACCATATACGCCGCCCACGCCTGCTCTTGCATCGTGGGCGTTGGGCCGCGTCATCACAGCGCCCGAACAACTGCTGACTCTCTCCAGTGGGCGGTAATGCCGTCTCGGCCTTCTTATCATGGCGACTGCAAGCAACCAATGCCTGCGACGTCACCCTCGTATGGAAGTCGGGATACGAGAGCGTTGCCCAGTACGGCATATCATTCAAGTAGGCCCTCCCGCCACCGCACCTGCTCTGGCCACTCACTAACCGCCCATAGATCCGCCCTGTACGGCAACGAGCGATTCAAGCCCCATGCTGGTAAGGCAACGAGCTCACGGTTATCCTTGACGTACAGCTAACACCCTCAGTCGTCCGCACACCCGAAGATGCCGCCCATTCTTCCAAGCAGCCTTTTGATTACGTCCTCCTTTGCGTAAAAGCCCTGCCCGATGTATACGATATCGCCAACATCATCGAGTCGGTCGTCTCCCCTCAGCATACGTGCATCCTTATGAACACTACACACAGCCTTGGCGTTGAATCCTATCTCGAGCAGCGTTTCCCCACAAACGTAGTGCTTTCATTGGTATCGGGAGCAGAAATTTCGCAGCTCGGAGCTAGCGAATTCGAGCACAAAGGCGCGACCGACATCTGGGTTGGTCCTGCCAACAAAAATGCCAACATTCCTGCGCAGATCCAGTCAGACATGGCCGAGGCCCTGGCCATGACATTGAGCTCCGGACAGGTCGACTGCAAGGTCTCGTCCAACATACGACAGCAGCAGTTCGAGCGAATGATAGGGTATGTCATTTGTGCCATGGTCGCACATCATCAACTAACGTTCCACAGTCCAATCGCTTTCCACCCTGCCAGTGTCGTATTCGAGACACCCAACCACGCTGAACTCATGGACAAGGTCGGCGTGCGTGCTCTAATCACCGGAGTGCTCGATGAGATGATCGCGCTTGCAAATGCTTCCAACTGCACATTCCCCGACGATTTCCGCGAGACAACGCTTCAAGAGATGACCCGTCCACAGGACAACAACAGCACCATGTGGATGGACTTTGAGGCCAAGCGCCCGATGGAAATCGAGACGTATCTGGGGTCCCCTCTCAAGATTGCACAAGAAACTGGTGTCGCCGTGCCTCGGATCGAGACGTTGTATGCTACACTCCATCACCTCAACATCGTCAACCGAACACGCCCAGCTGCTCCAGCTCCCGCCACACAATCTCCTCAAAATGGCATGCAACCTCCTCCCAGACAATCTTCGGCGCCGATGCCTCGTGGGCCCCCTCCCCAAGGGCCCATGATGAACGGTAACGGTATGAAGGGCGGCCCTCGCCCAGGAAGCCGTGCTCCGTCAATCAACGGAGGTCCTCCAATGATGCGTCGTGGCCCGCCCCCGGGCCCCAACGGTTACCCTCCTAGGATGAACGGAGGTCCCAACAGGCGTCCCTCCTTCGAGGACCCCGGCAACCTTGAGGAGTTTTCCCACCTCATGCTCTACGACGACATGGTTCCAGACGGTGCTGTCAATGGCGGTCCCTATGAGAGCGCCGGAGGCTCTTCCAACAACCTGGCACTTCGCGAGAGAGAACTGATGCTTAGGCAGAGAGAACTCCAGATCAGAGAGCAGGAGATGAACATGCGAGGCGGACGTGGCGGTCCAATGGGTCCCGGCCCTATGGGTCCTCCGATGGGTCCGATGGGTCGTGGTCGGGGACGTCCTCCGCCACCCCCATCAATGGGCGGATTTGATGACGATGATGACGATGGCGATGACTTCTTCGATCCCATGGGCGGACGTGGAGGCCCAATCATCGACCCCGACAACTTCGACATGATGAGCGTCACGTCGCGTCGCAACCGCTCAGCACCCAGCGCTAAGCAGATTCGTCAAAACCCTGAGGGCGCAGGTTTCGCGCCTGGACCAAACAGGGGCGGCAGGGGCCCATTTGGACGTCCGGGGATGAACAAGAATCGGAGTAGTGCTCGGTTGATGGCAGATGTTCCTGGTCTCCACGACTCTATCATGAACAACCCTCTCATGGGCTACTCCTCCGACCGCTACGGACACGTCGATCGCGGTGCTATGGGCGCGCAATCCAGAACCAACTCACTGACATCGGCTCGTCTAGATGAGCTTTCAGGGGGCGCAGGCTACGGTGCTTACCCTGCACCAAACGCCCGTCGCATGAGCCAGTCACCTGGCAACCCGCTCAGTCCGGGCCCGCGACCCATGGGCCGACCCTCGCCGCCAAACGGCTTCAATGGCATGCCACCAAACGGCATGGCTCCCAATGGCATGGCTCCTAACGGCATGCCCCCAAATGGAATGATTCCTAACGGGCGGCCATCGCCTCCTGGCATGAGGCAGCCCATGCCACGAAACCCTGGAAACGAGGTGGCACCACAACAAGTTGAACAACACGCTGGGGTGAGCAATCTCTACCCGCCCAAGTCTCGTCCCCAAGTTCGCAGTCTGACTGGAAGCGCATCAAATAGTTCCGCTAGCGCAAAAGCAGTAGATTCCACGGAAAACTCTGCGCACAGCAGCCAAAGCAGCCTTGGACCCCGTCCCCCGGTTGGCGTTCGGTAATTGGGATAATGTTCGACTTAGATTTGGCGGCCATCCGTTTTGAATGTTGGCATCTGGCATGGACACTGTTTCAACCTCGACGACATTGGCGAAATCATCTACTGGTCCTCACTCGACACACATCCTTTCTCGTCTAAGACAGCTAGCGAAGCAGTCTAGATGTCTCTTTCGACACCTTTTTCCACAAACACGTATACGCACCGAAGCATCACCATCCGGCCGACAAGACTCTCCATGGCGGTCCGGGAGGCTTCATGGACAGCCAGAGGCTCGTCCAGATGGTGGATGTCCTAATGACGAATAGAATTGGGCCGGCAAGGGACACATTTGACGTACACAAACCGGCCTCGCACGACTGAAGCCTTTGCTTTCGGGTTTTCTCTTTTGTCTATATCGTACATACTTGTAGAACGCTCTTACGGCGGCGGCAATAGCCTCCCTTTTTCTCCTTCACACACAGACTGTGGCAGCCCGCTAATCATGTTTTCCTTGTTTGCATGGGTTTTATGCTCAGTGGAGGTTGGGTTATTTCCCTTTACCACTTGTTTGCTATACTACGGAGTTTGATACATGCATATGGATTTTGCTTGCTTGTACCTTGTCATTCATTTTTTCCTTTGTTTGCCCCCATGGGCTTATCCTATTCCCAAGTGCTGTGTATATCTACCATAGCTACACAAACCGTAGCGCGTACCATTTTGAAGGCTGGATGGAGAAGCATTTCCGTAGTTGAGCATATGTAGGCCGACGAGCACAAAAGCAAGCAAGACGTTCCTTTCTCCTGACCATGTTCCCCCATGTTCTATTCGTGACTAGCAAGATGTCTGCCCGAGCTGATTGCTTGTCAGGGGAAGCAAGAAATTAACAGAAGATATCAAGCTGTTGCCAAGTTCTGGGCTCTGTGATTGTGCGGAGACTGCGTAGTGCCGTTGTTCCGGAATCAGCCGCCTACGTAGATCACGGGAAATTGTGCACGTGCTCAAGCTCCTCACTTCACGATGCCGACGGCTAGGTCGCTCGTTACTTTCACTAGCGCAGCGTGCCGTGCAAAGAGCTTCCGACAGAGAGGCAATGCTCTCGTCCCGCCTTTAAACCAATTGCACGTCCCGGGAGTGAATTTGACTCGTATCCCAACGCGTTGGCATGCAAGTGATGGTGTTCATGCATGGTAATTGCACGCCCAAGCTTGCCTACCCCTCGTTCTCCGTCATAGCTGGACAACGCGGGGCAGAATGAGCATCAGCTCGCTGTCACGCCCCAATAAAGCCACGCGCCCGCTTCAGAGCCCGACACAGAGCGCGCGACCCGATCGCCCAAGACCTACAAGAAGTCCCTTCGCGACCCACACGGTAGTCACCGTCCTTGTTCTGCTGCTAGCGCTGGGTACCGGTTTCTTCGCACCCCACTTCTCCAACGCCGTCTTACGCACTGTTATCAACAAACAAGTTCCCTCCTTCACCCTCCGGAATCCAATCGTCCTCCAGGAACCGAGTATTTGCCCGAAGCCTGAGCAGCAGGTCGAGTTCGTCGGTACCTTCAACACCCAATACAAGCGCAGCATGACACTCGCAGACCAGGCGAAGCGCGTCGCCGCGGAGTTCGACTTCGACGACAATGCCGTCAACAAGGCCGTCAAGGAGTTTATTCGGGAGATGGGTACGCACGAGAATACGGAGTGGGCAATTGGTCACTGACGACGCGCAGACGAGGGTCTAGAGAAGGAAGGCACTGAGATGAGCCAGATCCCGACATACGTCACTGCCGTCCCCAATGGCACGGAAAAGGTATGGGTCCTATATGCGCCGGTCTTCACCGTCATCTAATGCTGTACAGGGCCTCTACATGGCCGTCGATCTCGGCGGTACCAACTTCCGCGTCTGCTCTATCGAGCTCCACGGCAACACTACCTTCTCCCTCACCCAAAGCAAGGTAGCCATCCCGCGCGAGCTGATGGTCGCGAAGACATCGAAAGAGCTCTTCTCCTTCCTCGCGAAACAGATCGAAGCCTTCCTCAAACTGCACCACGAAGAACACTACGCTGGGACACTCAGGCGCAGAGAGGGAAAGGCAGGCGAGCCAGAAGATGAGGAGATATTCAACCTGGGTTTCACCTTCTCATTCCCTGTACACCAGATCGGAATCAACAAGGGTATGCTGATGCGCTGGACAAAGGGCTTCGACATTCAAGATGCGGTTGGCAAGGATGTATGCGCTCTGCTTCAGCAAGAGATTGACGAGCTCCACCTCCCTGTCAAGGTGGCTGCGTTGGTAAACGACACTGTCGGAACCCTCATGGCGCGCTCATACACTTCGCCCGGCAAGACTGGCACATTACTGGGTGCCATCTTTGGAACTGGTACCAACGGAGCCTACGTTGAGAAGCTGGACAAGGTCAAGAAGATGTCAAAGGACACCAGCGATGGCGCATACGACAAGTCAACCGGGGAGATGATCGTCAACACTGAGTGGGGCTCGTTTGACAATTCTCTCCGCACTCTGCCCAACAGCCCCTACGACGTTCAGCTTGACAAGGACTCTGTGAACCCTGGAATCCAAATGTTCGAAAAGCGCGTGTCGGGCATGTTCTTGGGAGAGCTTCTACGTCTTGCCCTGCTCAAGCTCATCAAGGACCCCAATGTTCCGCTTTTCACTGACGACAACTCGTCTTCAAACGATGTCCACAGCACCACTCAAATTCACGACGATAGCCCGATATGGAAGCAGTGGGGTCTCGACACTAGCTTGCTCAGCGTGTGCGCTGGCGATGACAAGCCTGGCAACCAGATGCTCCGACAGGAACTTGATAAGTATAAAATCTCCGCCGTCAGCCGTGAGGACGCAGAAGCAGTCCGCGAAATCGCTGGAGCGATCGGTCGCCGCGCGGCGCGTCTTGCTGCCGTCGCCATCGCCGGTATTGTCATCAACACAGGTCGTCTGGACAAGTCCTCGGGATCAGCTACCACAGAGCAAAAGTCAGGCATTGAGCCTGTACGTGGGGATGTCGAAGCCACTGAAGGTGACGAGATCGATGTCGGTGTCGATGGCTCGCTCGTTGAATTTTACCCCAACTTTGAGAAGTACATCCGTGAGGCGCTACGTGCGGTGCCCGAAATCGGTGCAAAGGGCGAGAAGAGAGTCAGGATCGGTATCGCGAAGGATGGATCCGGTGTTGGTGCTGCGCTCATTGCGCTTGTTGCTGGAAAGGTCAACGCGCCACAGTAAGTGTTGTTGCCTGGGGCATCTATGATGTGACGACTTAAGCATGTTGGATATATAGCACAAGAGTGCCTTCTTCTGTAAATGGATCTGGGGGATGTGTAATTACATCTAACAACAGATAAACTTGTTCTCTGGATTTCGCTCGACGCTTTAGCTGTGAGGTATGCAAATGACTACATTCTTTGTTTACGCTGCCTGTGTGGCTCCTTTGATGGAGGAAATCGATGACGCATAATGCGTGGACCCACCCCACCACTGCTACCAACCATTAGGTAAATCGTTCGCAGCGTGACCCCATAGAGCCGGTTGACATTCTTTATGTCAAACTTCCTTTAACAAGCTTCGACTTTGCAGATGCGCCGTGGATGCAAGAAGTACTTGTATTACGTTGCGTAGAAATTGCTCATCAACAAATCATAGCCCGGCTGGCACAATTGGTTAGCGCGTGAGACTTTTAATCTCAAGGCTCAGGGTTCGAGTCCCTGGTCGGGCGACGTTCTTTTTGCTCATGCGATGTCGCTGGGACGCAGGGGACGAAATCTGAGAACGAAACACCTTTTTTGCGGATGAGGTTTGTACAGAATGTCAAGTTTGCAGACGCAGTCGTAGGAACATTTTTACTACCAAGCACAACTTTTACAACTCCCAATCTAACATGCGTCGCGCAACAACTTGTCGTACGTCCAAAATCTACGCAGTTGACTTCTCCTTATCAAGTATGTGCTGTTTGATCACTTTCCTCAATTGATTCGCAGTCTTCTTGCTATGAGCCGATAGTGCATCGCGGTCTAGATTGAGCTTTTTCATCCCCTCCAGCGCAATAGCTGAGAGAGAATGCCTACGTCGGTCCTGATACTCCTCATTATCAACCTGCTGCCAAGTTCGCACTTGATCGTACGGCAAGAAATCCGTGAACACGGTATTTGTGCGGTGGAAAGATGGTCTGCGGCCGTGACTTGGATGTCCAAGTGTGTGGTTTTGATTGGAAGCTTCGTCTGCGCTCTTTGCATGTGACTCTATATCTGCCTCGTCGTTCATTTCTATGAGTGCCTTTTGCGCTGTATCTGGGAGCGGCTTGCGTTTTACGAGAAATGCTGTTGCGCGTGGAGACGGTCTGAGGTGCAACTCGCCGTCGAAAGGCGATGTAGGCTGTGGTGGTGCGCCCGTATACCCAGCCTGTAACACAGCGAGGTTACTCTCCGTCAGCTGCTTTACGCTTTCGAAGCGCTCGATGAAACGAGTCTGCCTAGGCTTTGGAGGCATATCGGCGTACGCTGTACGAAACGATTGCTCTGTGCCAGAGGACCCACCATCCCATTTGCTTGATTCGTTTGATACTGTCCGCTTTAGTTCACCAGACTCTGAGGAGTTCAGCTCGCTTGAAGGCGTGGTGGATGGTCCATTGAAGGCTGCCATATCGTTTTGGAAGTTGGAAGTGAAGCTAACGGGATGTTTGCTGCCGTTTGGTAGATGTCCTTCTGAGTCGCACCTGAGACCTGGCAGTTGAAAGTGTGCAGTTGCGATGAAGTGACTGGAACGTGTTTCTGATTCAATATGAGGGAGGAAGAACATGATGATAGCACTGTATGATCCAGGTGATTCCGCGGCGTGATAGAACTCTGTGATAGCGACAGGTACTTGTGCCCCGACTGTTTCACCACCTATATCAGCTGAACGTGGCTATGCCATTACTCTCGCCTGGTTCTACAATGTAGGTATCTAGCTTCTGAGACGTCTCACTTAACGCAAGAGTTCGGCGCCCATGGCTAGAGGTCTAGCAG